AGAGGAAACATAAATCAAAAGAAAATGTTTTGGACGCTTACTACCTTCAACAAAAAACTGATCTGTTTTGTTAGACGCTTCGGTTCTCGGTCCTTTCTTTGCTGGCTGCTCCGAATGTTTGCTTAATAAATCCTCAGCGATCTTTGCAGCAACCTTATGATCAAATACTGTTGTATGTTCAAGAAAAGATGGATTTCTCCACGCGCCTGTTCCAGCATTTTTGATAGCAGGGATCATTTGCACTCCCTCAGTACTGAGTTCGGCTTCATCGAAAGGTTCACCTCTTAGAGCTTTGCGTGGCTCGTTTTGCCCACACGGTCTTGCCCTACGAGCAAAACCTTGACACGTTTATCATATGTGCTACCACCAGACTCAATTGCCCTGTGATAAACAACAAGTGCCTTTTCTCCTCTAGCTCGCACAAAGGCTGGAATCAAATCTGAAAGTAACAAAAGAATCGGTTTATTGTTGCGCGCCTTTCCCCCACTTTTCCCGTCGCGCGCGCGTCTGGTGCTTGTAAGCTATATAGCTTTGTGCTTGGCCTTCGCAGGCCTGAAAAACGCGAAAAAATAACGCCTGTTATGCACGCTAAAGGTAATCCTTTTGAGAAAATGGCGAATTTTTTTCGAGAATGTCTGTGTGTCTTGTTTTAGTTAGCAATTCGTAAGAAGCTTGTTTAAGTCAGATATTGACTATAGACTTAAAGTCTATAGTATGTTTTGGAATGTTATCGACTTGTGGACAATTTTTGTATCGTCAAGTAACGGTCCTCTTCAGTCCTACGTTGTCTATGTTGAGTGACGATTCAAAACATGCCTTTCTGGCATTGATACGGTACGCCGCGAACTACGGGACTCTTCCTCAACACCCGGGAGGTACTGCCATATATGGGGTACATAGCTATGTGTCGCTGTGAAGGGCATGGTTTTCAAGCAGTTACATCGAGATAGGATATATAAACAAGGGAGTTTGGGTCTAGAATAGGGTATCATTTTCCAGGAAACTGATCAGTTGGTTAAAGATCTTATTCTAGACTTAGGAAACCGGTAATTGTCACTCAAAAATATAAAAAAGTCAAATTGGTTTTTTTTGGCTGGACTGTGCTAGTGATCTCAGTGGTTTTTGGAAAACAGCTACTCTAGGGTGGGGGGGATTTTAGGAGTTCAGTCTAGTATAGGGTAGTCAAATTCAGCTCAACTAGCTCTGGTATAAGCTAAAGGTTTCAGGGTGTTAGGGGTACATCCCCAACCAAAAATCAAGTGACACGTCACACGACATATTACATTTATATCCAGGCCTGGTTTAGAAGGTTGCGAATAACTACTCCTGAAAATGATTAACCACCACCGTATAACGCACCAGGAAGTTACGATAAAGCTGGACAGTACATGGAGCTCCACGCGCGGCAAGGAAATGTGGTAATCTACCCATCCGAGAAAATTTGGTAATCAAGTGACCATACACCGAGCGATCGAGCGACCGTCCGTCCGCACCACAGGAATACCAATGTGAAATAACTCAATTAACAGGTATGGCAACCCAATTGCGACTCAAGGTTTTATTTAGAAGAAAAAACAACAAAGTCGTGTCTTTTTCGGCGTTATTTTTTATGTTTACATTAACGTGGACAACAGAGAAAGAGCTAGAGCGAGTTATTGAAAACAATAGAGACGAATTTCGTGGGAAGAAAAACATGGAAATTGAAAGCGGCCGTGAGAAAATGAGAAATGCTAGCGACCAGCAAGGTGAAAATGAGCGGCAACGAAAAATAAAAGCGAACATGAACACAGGAGACAAAATATTGGGTAAGCACATACGACAATTTCTCCATGAAAATAATGTGTAACTAGGAAAATTGACGTTTTAGTCGTACAAAACAGCGTTGCAGTCGTGCAAAACAACAACAAGGGAAAGACAAAAAAGCGTGCTACACGTGCCAATTTTTTTTGCTAATTAGAAGAAAAAGTGTGCTGCACGTGCAATTTGTTTTTTGCTAATTAGATCTATTAGTCTTGAAGCCATATTCATTGTCGTCCCCGTTTAGCATTACACAATTTAATTTTTTTCTGTTTACACGTATTATTAACTAGAGCTTCGCTTTTAGCCCTGGCCAAATCTATATATTATCAACACTTAGGAATGAAAGCTTTTGAACTTAAGGTATCGCATAAATAACACCTAGTTACAAAGGTCTCAGTGGTTACATTTCCAGTAGGAATGACACTTAATATTGGAAAAAATCACGGTTTACAAGTTGTATAAATTATGTAGGACACGTGTCACATGTACACACATGGTGGTATGGTTTCAAAAGGATATGTTCAAATAATTGTCCGACGTAGAGAAGGCCAAAACTCTACCCTTTGCACTCTTTGCTTTTCTCTTTGCTTTGCTTTGAATAATGCATCTTAAGCTCCCTTTCTCGTCCGAAACAATAAATAGCTTCCCAGTAGACGCATTGCGTTTTAAGTCCTTAAGTATGTACTCAGGGACTTTCCAGCCCGAGTATCGAGACTTGAGGTCATCTTCATGGGAAGATACTATACTTTTGCGTACACGAGTTTTTGACAATAGTAAGTCATTGTCTGCCATGTCTATCCCTTGATCACCAGCATAAACAAGAAGTTCATTTTCGATTGATATGACCCTCAGTTGAATCTCATCAGTGTGTCTGTACGTTTCCAGGAGACTTTGTGTCACGACACCCGGGATTTTTAGAAATTCGGGGCTTAAAAATACGACATCGTCTGGGTCAAATGATATCTTGCCATTGCGTAGTTTGCTCTTTAGCACCAATTTCACCTTCAAACGGTGTAGGCATCTTCAACAGCTGAGGAATGGACAACGGAACTTCTTGTTTCATCTATCGAAAGGGAAAGGGAAGGTCCACGTTAGACTCCGTTTATAATAGACACACAGCTTAGTTAATTAAAGTATGTGTTATAGCGGTGCTTTCCCCCACAACATTCCACTCTCTATGAACATTCAATAAACCAGTTTCCATTGATACCGGCCGATGTTTGACGTCAAAGAAATTTATGTGCATCCTGATGAAAATATCGTAACCAAGCCTACAAGAGGAGCTTCTGTTAAATTTTTACCATTGCAATCGCAATAAATTAATACCTAAATAACAAAAATAAGAACTTATGCCCACGACCTACAGAAAATTATCAACTGGTCTCTCGCTCAAATAAGTCGAGCATATTAATATTTGTTTTGCTGAAGTCATGATTTTTCTGCAATGTGATTATCTTATACTAAGCTATTTAATGGAAATTGTCAAACCATAAATCTGCTCGTAACTCATCATCATGGAAAGGTCCGAAAAGGATCTTTGAAGATCTTTGACGATAATCAAATATCTTCGAGGATCTTGAGAGGAAGTTGAGGATCCTTGCAAGGATCTCCGAGGATTCTTAAGATCTTCGCAAAAAATTTTTGAGGATCCCTGATAAGATCATTAGAAGCAGACTAATTAACCTATTGAAAAGGGTATTTCAAGGGGAAAAAAGTAAACGTCCCTCAGCCAATATCCAATACTCACCTGTACTTTGATAGTGAGGCCAGTCTTTGAAAGCAATAGGATTACTAAGAATGTGAGCAGTTAATGAAGCTGCCATTAAACTCGCGAACTTTTTCCAAGGATTTGGCTCAAACAATCCTCCATCTGCGTAGTTCGAGACGCCTTTAATTATAGTCCACGGAATATCCAGCTCTTGAGCCGCTGCATAAAGACCTAAGAATAATTGTGAGGACAAGTGTGCTTTCTAGCAAAAATCGAGACTTATGAGAAGTACAAGGAAACGCAGATATGTTGTTAAATCGCTACCAGCCTCAGTGGGTAGATTTAGGACAAGTCCTGGTTAAAGTTCAAGGAAAGTCAGGGTGAAAATGACTTAGGCCCAGGCCAAACGTCGAACTTTCATGAGACGAACCAAACTCTAATTTGGGTCGACCTAAATGAAGTTAAGATCGCCTGTTGGCTCAGACGTCGAACTTAGGACGCGTCGACGTTATATCCGTCTCAAGCAGACGGATAGAACGCGTTGGACGATCCAAACTCATTCAGACGAACTTAACTGAGCCTGACGTTGAACTTTTCATGAACGTAACAACTAACCCATGAAAAGTTCTCATGAAAAGTCGACGTTTGTCCTGGGGCTTAAATTTAGACTTAAATTCAGATCTTAGCCCCAAAGAACCGTGAACTAACAAGTTAGCTGAGGGTGTGATATAATTACAGCAACTGCAATCTTCGAATGACTCGATTGTTCGCATGAAGTATGTAAATTTGGATTTGCACCCCTTCGTGAAGATAACATGGGCTGCACGTGGTTGACCCGTTGCGATTGTTAAGGTTTACTCCATTCTATGCATGGTTTTTTGCATTACAATACTGGCCTTGTAGTCTTTAGATCCTATGAGAGCACAAAGTTGGCGTTTACCTCCAGTCTTACGGTTAACTTTTATTAATACACCCTATCACACTTTGTGCTTAATTTTCAAATCCTGGCACTTAACAGTCAGCCGGTCTTTTAAATCACTGGCCATATAGTACCTAAGGGTTTGTACTAGATCAATAACGGTACAATTCGTCCACCTCCTGTTGTGTCATCAACCAACCATATTTGTTTAAAGTGGGACTGTATACATTCTGAAGATCTGAATCACAATCAGTTTGTTGACTAAGTGCTAAGGAGTAGCTGACGAGTCATCTTATGTTGTATGCTCTTGCAAGCTCAACTAGCTCTGGTATAAGCTAAAGGTTTCAGGGTGTTAGGGGTACATCCCCAACCAAAAATCAAGTGACACGTCACACGACATATTACATTTATATCCAGGCCTGGTTTAGAAGGTTGCGAATAACTACTCCTGAAAATGATTAACCACCACCGTATAACGCACCAGGAAGTTACGATAAAGCTGGACAGTACATGGCTTTTAGTTTACCAGTAGACAATTATTTTTATAGCGGAGCTCCACGCGCGGCAAGGAAATGTGGTAATCTACCCATCCGAGAAAATTTGGTAATCACGTGACCGTACACCGAGCGATCGAGCGACCGTCCGTCCGCACCACAGGAATACCAATGTAAAATAGCTCAATTAACAGGTATGGCAACCCAAATGCGACTCAAGGTTTTATTTAGAAGAAAAAACAACAAAGTCGTGTCTTTTTCGGCGTTATTTTTTATGTTTACATTAACGTGGACAACAGAGAAAGAGCTAGAGCGAGTTATTGAAAACAATAGAGACGAATTTCGTGGGAAGAAAAACATGGAAATTGAAAGCGGCCGTGAGAAAATGAGAAATGCTAGCGACCAGCAAGGTGAAAATGAGCGGCAACGAAAAATAAAAGCGAACATGAACACAGGAGACAAAATATTGGGTAAGCACATACGACAATTTCTCCATGAAAATAATGTGTAACTAGGAAAATTGACGTTTTAGTCGTACAAAACAGCGTTGCAGTCGTGCAAAACAACAACAAGGGAAAGACAAAAAAGCGTGCTACACGTGCCAATTTTTTTTGCTAATTAGAAGAAAAAGTGTGCTGCACGTGCAATTTGTTTTTTGCTAATTAGATCTATTAGTCTTGAAGCCATATTCATTGTCGTCCCCGTTTAGCATTACACAATTTAATTTTTTTCTGTTTACACGTATTATTAACTAGAGCTTCGCTTTTAGCCCTGGCCAAATCTATATATTATCAACACTTAGGAATGAAAGCTTTTGAACTTAAGGTATCGCATAAATAACACCTAGTTACAAAGGTCTCAGTGGTTACATTTCCAGTAGGAATGACACTTAATATTGGAAAAAATCACGGTTTACAAGTTGTATAAATTATGTAGGACACGTGTCACATGTACACACATGGTGGTATGGTTTCAAAAGGATATGTTCAAATAATTGTCCGACGTAGAGAAGGCCAAAACTCTACCCTTTGCACTCTTTGCTTTTCTCTTTGCTTTGCTTTGAATAATGCATCTTAAGCTCCCTTTCTCGTCCGAAACAATAAATAGCTTCCCAGTAGACGCATTGCGTTTTAAGTCCTTAAGTATGTACTCAGGGACTTTCCAGCCCGAGTATCGAGACTTGAGGTCATCTTCATGGGAAGATACTATACTTTTGCGTACACGAGTTTTTGACAATAGTAAGTCATTGTCTGCCATGTCTATCCCTTGATCACCAGCATAAACAAGAAGTTCATTTTCGATTGATATGACCCTCAGTTGAATCTCATCAGTGTGTCTGTACGTTTCCAGGAGACTTTGTGTCACGACACCCGGGATTTTTAGAAATTCGGGGCTTAAAAATACGACATCGTCTGGGTCAAATGATATCTTGCCATTGCGTAGTTTGCTCTTTAGCACCAATTTCACCTTCAAACGGTGTAGGCATCTTCAACAGCTGAGGAATGGACAACGGAACTTCTTGTTTCATCTATCGAAAGGGAAAGGGAAGGTCCACGTTAGACTCCGTTTATAATAGACACACAGCTTAGTTAATTAAAGTATGTGTTATAGCGGTGCTTTCCCCCACAACATTCCACTCTCTATGAACATTCAATAAACCAGTTTCCATTGATACCGGCCGATGTTTGACGTCAAAGAAATTTATGTGCATCCTGATGAAAATATCGTAACCAAGCCTACAAGAGGAGCTTCTGTTAAATTTTTACCATTGCAATCGCAATAAATTAATACCTAAATAACAAAAATAAGAACTTATGCCCACGACCTACAGAAAATTATCAACTGGTCTCTCGCTCAAATAAGTCGAGCATATTAATATTTGTTTTGCTGAAGTCATGATTTTTCTGCAATGTGATTATCTTATACTAAGCTATTTAATGGAAATTGTCAAACCATAAATCTGCTCGTAACTCATCATCATGGAAAGGTCCGAAAAGGATCTTTGAAGATCTTTGACGATAATCAAATATCTTCGAGGATCTTGAGAGGAAGTTGAGGATCCTTGCAAGGATCTCCGAGGATTCTTAAGATCTTCGCAAAAAATTTTTGAGGATCCCTGATAAGATCATTAGAAGCAGACTAATTAACCTATTGAAAAGGGTATTTCAAGGGGAAAAAAGTAAACGTCCCTCAGCCAATATCCAATACTCACCTGTACTTTGATAGTGAGGCCAGTCTTTGAAAGCAATAGGATTACTAAGAATGTGAGCAGTTAATGAAGCTGCCATTAAACTCGCGAACTTTTTCCAAGGATTTGGCTCAAACAATCCTCCATCTGCGTAGTTCGAGACGCCTTTAATTATAGTCCACGGAATATCCAGCTCTTGAGCCGCTGCATAAAGACCTAAGAATAATTGTGAGGACAAGTGTGCTTTCTAGCAAAAATCGAGACTTATGAGAAGTACAAGGAAACGCAGATATGTTGTTAAATCGCTACCAGCCTCAGTGGGTAGATTTAGGACAAGTCCTGGTTAAAGTTCAAGGAAAGTCAGGGTGAAAATGACTTAGGCCCAGGCCAAACGTCGAACTTTCATGAGACGAACCAAACTCTAATTTGGGTCGACCTAAATGAAGTTAAGATCGCCTGTTGGCTCAGACGTCGAACTTAGGACGCGTCGACGTTATATCCGTCTCAAGCAGACGGATAGAACGCGTTGGACGATCCAAACTCATTCAGACGAACTTAACTGAGCCTGACGTTGAACTTTTCATGAACGTAACAACTAACCCATGAAAAGTTCTCATGAAAAGTCGACGTTTGTCCTGGGGCTTAAATTTAGACTTAAATTCAGATCTTAGCCCCAAAGAACCGTGAACTAACAAGTTAGCTGAGGGTGTGATATAATTACAGCAACTGCAATCTTCGAATGACTCGATTGTTCGCATGAAGTATGTAAATTTGGATTTGCACCCCTTCGTGAAGATAACATGGGCTGCACGTGGTTGACCCGTTGCGATTGTTAAGGTTTACTCCATTCTATGCATGGTTTTTTGCATTACAATACTGGCCTTGTAGTCTTTAGATCCTATGAGAGCACAAAGTTGGCGTTTACCTCCAGTCTTACGGTTAACTTTTATTAATACACCCTATCACACTTTGTGCTTAATTTTCAAATCCTGGCACTTAACAGTCAGCCGGTCTTTTAAATCACTGGCCATATAGTACCTAAGGGTTTGTACTAGATCAATAACGGTACAATTCGTCCACCTCCTGTTGTGTCATCAACCAACCATATTTGTTTAAAGTGGGACTGTATACATTCTGAAGATCTGAATCACAATCAGTTTGTTGACTAAGTGCTAAGGAGTAGCTGACGAGTCATCTTATGTTGTATGCTCTTGCGCCTGGTTCCCCCCCCCCCCCCCCCCCCCCCCCCCCCCCCCCCCCC